TTTGTTTAGGGCTGAGGACCAAACTTAGGACCTGGCAGTGCTAGGCAAGCACTCTGCCACTGAGCTAAATCCCCAATCCCTATATCTACAATACTCTTTTCTAAAAAGAAATAATTTTTTTAGTTGTAGGTGGACACAATACCTTTATTTCATGTTTATGTGGTGCCAAGAATCGAACCCTGTGCTTCAGGCATGCTAGGTGAGTGCTCTACCGCTGAGCCACAACCCCAGCCCTATGTTTCATTTTTCAGAAGACATTTACTCAAGTGTAAAATTTAGTTAAATTATAATGCTCACTGCTGTATGAGACGCTGAATGGGTCGGCACTCTTCATGAGCGCACGATGGTGAACACCTTACTGCCAGCATGGTCTTAGTATTAGGAAACAGTTTTAACCTGCAGGAGGTGTCCTGAAAGGGTCTCAAGGACCCCCAGGGGTCCCCAGTCCACACTCAGGCCTGCTGCTTTAAACACAAAAGAGAATGCAGGGATTTGAAAATGAACAAAAGATATTTCTTAAGGAAAATATACAAAAGGCCAAGCAGCACATAAGTGGCTAAACACACACATTAGGAAAATGCAAATCCAAACCATAAGGTGGCCCAGTACAGTGGTGCATGCCAAATCCCAGTGGCTCTGGAGGCTGAGGCAGGAGGATCACGAGTTCAAAGCCAGCCTCAGCAAAAGTGAGGTGCTAAGCAACTCAGTGAGACCCTGTCTCTAAATAAAATACAAAATAGGGCTGGGCATGTGGCTCAATGGTTAAGTATTTCCGAGTTCAATCCCCAGTACCCCCCCAAAACAAAAAACGCACAAGAGGCCACCTTGCACCCACTGGAAATGCTCCTACAGAAAATCAAAAGCAATGCTGGTGAGGGTGTGGAAATATGGGAGCCTTTGTGCAATGCCGGGGGACACAGAAGGGTGCACCTACTGTGGAATAGAGCTGGGCAGTTCTTCAAGACATTAAAAGGCTGGGGGCCAGGTGCTGGTGCATGCCTGTAATCCCAGTGGCTCTGGAGGCCGAGGCAGGAGGATCTCAAGTTCAATGCCAGCGTCAGTAATTTAGTGAGGCACTAAACAACTCAGCCAAACCCTGTCCCCTGTCTCTAAATAAAATATTTTAAAAGTACTGGGGATGTGGCTAAGTGGTTAAGCACCCCTGGGTTCAATCCTTAGTACCAAAAAAAAAAAAAAGTAAAGCAGGGGTTTAGTTCAGTGAAGAGCTGCTCAGAACATATGAGGCCCTGGGTTTGATCACACCTCTATCAAAACAAAGGTAGAATTACCCTATGATTTGCAATCCCACTTGTGGTCTATTTGCAAAAAAATTGAAATCAGGGGTCTCAAAGATATTTGCACACGTGTTCGTAGCATTATCCACAGTACCAAGAGGTAGAAACAAGCCAAGTGTGCAATGGCAGATAAACAGACAAAAACAATGCAGTCTGTCTGTTCAATGAAATATTACTCCGTCTTAACAAGGAAGGAAATTCCAGCACATGCTGTGCACAGGTGAACCCTGAGAAGTAGGCCCTACAAAATGAGCCAGTCACCAAATGACAAATTCTGCATGATTCCACTTATATGAGGTACCAAAACAAAGTTGGGTCCACGGAGACAAAAAGCAGAGTGGGGAGTGCTGGGACTGGAATAGAGAACAGGGACTGTGGTTTGCTGGGCACAGTTTCAGTGCTGTGAGCTGACAATGTCCTAGAGATGCTTGATGGGGACAGTCACACAACAAAGTGCTTTCAGTAACCCTGAATCAAGATGGTCAATTCCATGAAAAACACGTTTCTTCCACAATTAAAAAAACCAACAACAAGGGCAGTTACAAATGGACTAGTGCTTGTTCACAGAGGGATACAGAAACCTGAAGCAGGACAGCTTAAGGAAAATGCTTCTTGCTGCGTGTGGTGAGGCACAACTATACCCAATGACTTGGGAGGCTGAGACAGGAGGATTTCAAGTTCAAGGTTAGCCTCAGCAACTTAGTGAGACCCTGTCTCAAAATAAAAAATAAAGGGCTAAGGATGTGGGTCAGTAGTTAAGTGCCCTTGGGTTCAATCCCCAATTCTAAAAAAAAAAAGGACAAAAAAAACCCTCCAAATGCTTCTTATTCCTTTGTGTATGGAACTCTTGTGTTCTGCTTTAACAGATCTAGAGGTAAAAACATGCCACAAAGTATCAATTCTTGAAAATGTTTAAAAGTTGTATTGCTGGTACACTTTGCAGTCAGTGGTCACAAGTACCAATGTGTGCCCTAGGCAACTAAATGATTTATCAATAGATCACAAGTAGTCATGGAAGCATACCTCACACACCTGTTAAAATCATATGATCTAGGGGCTGGGGTTGTAGGTCAGTGGTTGAGCACTTGCTTGCCTCTCATGCATGAGGCACTGGGTTCGATCCTCAGCACCACATAAAAAAATAAATAAAATAATCATGTCCATCTACAAAAAAAAGAGACAAACGTACAATCTAGTAGTTTTTAGTGTACTCACAAAGCTGTGCAGTCATAACCACCATCTAGCTAGAATGTTCAAGAAGGAAGCCCTGCATTCCTCAGCGCTCAGCCCCAGCCTCACGTGGGCTCTGCCGGCTCTGGAGATGCATGTTCCTGGAGTCCCACACCAAGCCCTGAGCAGTCCTGCACGATGGCTTTCCTCGCTGGCATGTCCCCCAGGTTCCTGCAGCTAGCCAGCGTTCTTTTCCCTGGGCTCCTACCAGCCGTGGAGTGTTCCACTGCACGGATGGTCTCCTTAGCTTTGGGACACCTAGAAGGTTTCCTGTTTTGAGTGCTTGCAAGCCCTCTGGCAGGGCCATATGTCTTCCCTCCTCTTGGTCGGAAACCCAGAAGCAGAAGTGCAGGGCCATGGGGTAACTAACGATGTCCTTTACTCCTGAGCAACAGCCAGACTGCACCAAAGCAAGGGCACCATCTCACACGCACCGGGCACTGTGTGAGCGGGCCAGTGTGCTCTGCTCCTGTCCTCACCAACGACAAACTCTATTACACTTTTAAAGTGATTCCTTTTGTTCCTGAAGAGTTCTTAGACCAACTCATCTCAATTTAACATCACACTTCAAACTGCAGGTAAACAAAACACCTACACCCAAATAAACTTCTCCTAAGAAAAAGCAGAAGACGTTCTGCTAAATGGATTCAATGGTTTCCTTTCATACTACATCACCTTTCAGAATAACCAACAAGAAGAAAGGTAAATATGCTTAAGAACACTCCTCAGCGAGGCACAGTAACATAGGTCTGTGATCTCAACTATTTGGAGGGCTGAGGTGCGAGTTCATGGCTAACGTGGGCCTCACAGCAAAATCCTATCTCTGAAAAGAAAAAACAAAACAAAACAAAAAAACCCAAAACAACTAAGGACCAGGGATAGGAATGTAGCTCAATGATAGAGCACTTGCTTAGTGTGTGTAAGGCCCTGGGTTTGATCCCCCACATTGTGGGAAGGTAAGAAAAGAATCATTCTTGAAAGAAGTTTTTGATCACGTTCAATTAGCTGCAAAAATACCACTGGCCCTAGTTTCCACTCTCTTGACTGCAGAAACTGCTTTGCGAGACCTCACTCATGGACACTCAAGCTTAGCAGTCTCACCCACACTGCCCTGCATCCATGGAGACAATGCCGCTGCTCTCGTGTACCAGGCATCTTCCCAGAGATTCAGTTTACATTTCCAGTAAGACCTTGCTTCATCTGTTCTGTGCCTTGGTTGTTAAATTCTGAGAACCAATGTAGCAGTGTGAGCCCAGTTCCTGGTCCAGCGCCTCCACTCAGAGACAGTGGGCCTGCTGTCTCCTGCTATGGAACCTGTGGGCCAGTCCTAACCAACTGTGTGTGGCACAGTCTGTAAGCAGTGCTAATTCAGTGGCTGCAGCTGTGTGTGTGCGTGCATGCAGAATTCTCCGTATTACTTACGTCTAGGAATCAGAGATCGTCTGACATCATTTAATCTCACACCACTATAGAAAATAGGTCTTCTAACGACGTTTCACTTTTCTGAAATACCAACACTAGAAATGCCCAAGTTTTTAAGAAACTAAGATGTGGTGTACACTGCTGTGTCCTCAGTGTGGCTACGGTGACTGTCACGAGATGGAGAGACATGTCACATGGCACATGGCTGTTGGCTCTAGATTTTCCACAACCCCGCTGGTCCTACAGGACTGTCTGCACACTGGGGCCATCGCATGCACATATAATTCAGATGGGCCAACTGTTTTCACTTGGCAAAAACAAGCATACAGACAGTGTAAGCTAAAAGCACACACCATAGAGGAGCGAGCCTGACCAGGGTTCTCAGGAATCCCTCATCAGAGTGTCTCTTGGCCTGAGGGTGGGGTTACTCAAGGGCCAGTCTCAGTGCAAACTGCCCCATCTGTAAGACGGGACTCTACTCCCCCCACCCCAAGTCAGTTCCTGCCTCCTCCCAAGCAAGCTGCTGCAGCCTGTGCCTCCACCTTTGGCTCTCGTGCCTCGGAGGAAAAAGGGCAGCCACAACAGCTCTTTGTCCCTTGAAGCCCTCCTTCTTTGCAGTTTCCCAGGCATGATCTGGATCCAGGAGGAAGAAGTCTGGCCTCTGGAGCAGGGGACTTTAAGGTACTAAAGAGAGCGAATATGGGATATTTTGTACCTTTAACCTGGCCTCTGAGTGGTATGGAATTTGGTATTGGTGGAAGAAGAGTGGATAATGGTGTCACAACATCTGGAAAAGAAGTACAGGAAGCTCTTGTGAGCTTTAGACTGCACACACAAGCTGGCCAGTGAGCAAGTCATCTAAGGGCAAGAGGAAACCATCTCCTTACCTATCCAAGGGAAGCACCCATACAAGAAACATGCCCATCAGAGAAACTCTTACAAACTAACATCCCAAGACTCTACAAACGAGACACAGTATCACCATGCTGAGGGGTCATGCTACATGCTGACACAGGGTCAGTCCAGATTTCTAAGCAAGGGTTTACCAGACTGCCCCTGCTGCCCAGCTACTCAACTCACACTGTTCTCTGCAGAGTGCCTGTGGCCTCCAGAGGCCCTCCCTTGCCTTCTCAAGTCCATCCCCAGTGAAGAACGTGCTGCAGGAATTGGTCATCTCTTACAGAGGTGGGGGACATTAACACGGGTGCCGGAGTATTCAGCCTGACAGAAGGGACCCCTTAGAAAGACAATGGCTGCTGCCTGTTAGTCACGGGTCTACTCCAAGTGTGTGAAAGTGACAGGCTGGCTCTCCTCCAAGGCAGTCTCTTAAGCGAGGGAAGGACCAATAAAAGGGTCTGCTGTTGAGCAGCAGCAGCTGCAGCAGCACTCATGGTCTGGCCCTACAAGCAGCCTCGCACAGCAGGACCCTGATGAGGCTGAACCTCCACCAGGGTCCCAGGAGAGGCCATGGCTTTGCAGCCTGAGCAGAGCCCAACCCAGACAATTACCTTTCATGAAGAATCGGCAGGTGGGGCGAGGCCTCACCTTCCTGTCACTGGGGTCCTTCACTTCGCCTTCCTCCAGATCATCATCCTGCAACAGAGGACACTTGTCTTAATGAGGTGACTGCCCCCTGCACCGCCTCCATCGCAGGGCAGTACAGAAGTTGAGTGTGGGGAACACTGACGTTTTCCATGAGGCGTGTCTTGGCCACTCACCAATGCATGTCCGTTTCCCCAACCCTGGATTCCATCCTGCACCACAGGGATGGTCTCAAAGCTCGCCTGTAAGCTTGAGGGCCACAGGAAGAACACTGTATTACAGTGTGGGCTACGTGAAGCTCTTTACTCTGCCTTGTGGCTGATTCTTGATCCAGGGTCCTAACCTTACTGTCCAATTCTAAAGTGACTCAGGATTTTACAAAGACCAAAGGCTGGGTCCTAGCCCAGGGGTTCCAATGAGCAACCAAGACCTGACCACTGCTTTGTGCTCCCTAGCCACCCACTGCCCCAGGGCTCGTTCCCACCAAGCTACAGCCAAGACTCCCACCTATGTCTCTCAGCTGAGACTCCTCCTTGGACCATCCCAGCCCACACGAGCACACAGTACCCTCCCCATAGCCCTAGCACCAGAGGAAGAATGAACAAACATGTCCTCTACTCTTCCCAAAGGGATGGTATACTCCAGGTGGCTGAAGGTCTGCTAATCAAATGACAAGATATAAACGCAGAACAAGGAGACCCGACAGGAGGACTTGAGCTGGTGATGCCAAGGCAAAGACCCATGAAGACCAAAGAAACTGCTTCTGGCACACAGGAAGGAAGCCTGGCTGGTGAGAGACCACTCAGAGGTGTGGGAAAACGAAAGACCAGCAGGCAGTTCAAGGCCACACACAAGCAGACGCATGCACTGGGTGTGTGGAGGTGGACCCTGGTGTGCAGACTACGCTCTACATGCAAACGGCTCTAGAGTGTAGACTTTCCACCACCGCCACTTCATGTCTGTAAGTCCCTCAACTTTAATGTGCCCCAAGGCAGTAAGATTCAACTATTTGCTCAACAGTCACCAACAAATTGCCTATAATGTGTCAGGCCCTGGGGACAAGAGGTTGATCAGTCAAATAGATCCCAACCTAGGAGTCTCTGTTCTTGGGATGGGGTCTGAAGAAGCAACCAGCACCCTGGAATCACAGTGGAGTGAAGACGGCTTGAGCCCCCACAGAGGATGGGGAGGCAACCAGGATGTATATTTGGGCAAGAGACAGCAGGAAGAAACCAGAACTATTCCTGGGGCAAGTCAGGTGTGCTCTAATGGGGACAAAGCTACCAACCACAGCTCCTGCCCACTTACCTACCCGGCTAAGGTGTGCCCTGCTTTCCCTGGCACACCCCCAGCATGTTATCATGGGCCTGGCACAGAAAATGAAAGGCCTCCTCTGCTGCTGAAGGACAGTGGTCACACTGCAATGGAGCTGAGGGGCTTTTGTAGGAGGCACAAGCAAACAACAAAAAGCCCCAACACACACCACAGGACCGAAGTGGGGGCACACACTGTCTCTAGGGGAAATAAGACTGTGGCATTGTCCAGGGCTGGCTGGCTGCATTCGTCTCCTTACTGCCCACGCTTTCAGTGCAGGCAGAGCTGCAGCACTAAGATTCTCCATCATCCCAAGGAAGCCCTGACCCCCTCTGATGAATGCTCCCCTAGGACTTGTTAAATCGCTGACACTGGAAGGGCCTATAACAGTCCTCTCAACTGTAAACGGAGTGTCCAGTGCCCAGATTGGCCCCACCACACTCCTGCTGGCTTTGGAAAGAGTGTTTCTCTCCAAAACACCAAAAACCCAAACTCATGAGCAATCACAACTCACAACCTCACCCAAATTGATCAACTTGAGTCTCACAGCACCTTTTCTCTTTGCCAACCCTGGGATAGAGGTAAACTTCCCAAGAACAGTAGCAGGGAAAACAAAACACAAGGAAACCTGCTCAACATAGTCCTGACAACCCCCTGCAAGGTCGGATTAAGCAAGTCATTAACTAAGGAGAGCACACAGCAAGAAGATAAAGACCTAAAATCCTAAACTCATAGCCACACACACCCCAGAATTCTGCTCTTAGGAACCAATACCAATTAGGTAATACCCACAATCCTTCTGTCTGCCCAGCATGACCAGGGCAGTAAACCACAGCCCAAATTGAACTGAATCCACACAGACCAGTGTCCTGCTGGAGAGGAGGGTACATGGGTTAACCTAGACTCCACATCCAACTGGCAGGCTTCCCTCTCCTTCCAGCCCACGTCCAACATACCTTCCTTCCACTTAATGACACGGACAAGGAGACGCTCTTCCCAGGGCACCCAAGAAACCCCAGACCTCCCATTAGCTCTGTCCCCTCATTCGTCTCAAGTTCAATACTGCTCAGACTTCAGGCTATTTTCTCCAAAACACTGCTGATTCAAGTTCTTCAACATAATTACCTGCCATGAGATGAGACCCCCCACGTCTAAGATGAAGTTACTGAAGGCCAGACCCCCACTGCAGTGGGGCCCGGGTGTTCTCAGGGGTCCGTGGAGACTGCTGGCTGCCACCTGGCACAAAAGCCTTGCTGCAGGCCTACTGGGCATTCTCCGTGTTCGCACTTGCCTGCTGTCCCAGCACAAGCCTGCCCCCTGCCCCCCTAGCAAAGAGGACCAACAGGAGTCCATCGGGGAGCAAGATGCCCTGCTGGCCAGGCTGCCCCTCGTACTCACGTCTATCTCCCCGTCATCAATCTCTCCGTCATCGTCCTCTTTTTTCTTCTCCTTGGCAGCCTCTGGGGGCTCCTTCTCGCCCACTCCCTGGGCTTCAGGCTTCCCCTCCTCTGCAGGAGCGCCTTCCGCCTTCTCATCCTCCTCAGCCCCTGTCTTCTCGGCCTCGTCCTCTGGGGCCGCAGGAGCCGGCTCCTCGGGGACCTCCTCATCATAGTCTAACTCGTGCTCATCCAGCTCCCTGGTCACAGAGGAGGCCTCATCCCTGAGGTCGCTTGCACGGTCCTCCTCGCCGTCATCTGCCTCCTCCTCACAGGGGGAGCCTGCCGGACCCCTGTTCAGCTCGTGCGCCTCAGAGTCCTGATCCTGGGACTTGGGCTCACTGGCTCGGTCCTCCTCATCAGAGCGACTCTCCTCCTGGCTTGGTGCCCTGGCTGTGTTCTCCTCATCCTCTAAATCAGAAGCCCTCCCTGCAGCTCCATCCAAATCCTGATCAGACCCACTTTCCCTTAGAATGTCATCGTCAGAAAGGGCTGGCTGTTCCTCTTCATCCTCTGGGGAGCGAGGATTCTGTTCAGGACTCTCAGCCACATCCATCGGTACCCACGGTTCTGGGGAAGAAACAAACACAGACTTACAGCATGGATCGGGATGGAGGGTAAACCCTATCCTGTTCTCCTAGCTCATGCACCTGAAGGAAGAAGCAGACCTGCACTGTATGTGGCCCACATGGCTTCTCCTGAACCCACATGCCACCCTGCAGAAAGACCCCACAAGGCTGGACCACATTCTACTAAGCGGCATAGCACATGCCTCCTTTTCTGGCAATCTGGTAGCATGAGACACATGGCCTGGCACAGCCCTTCCACTCTCAGGTGCAACCTTCAAGGTTAACAGACAGTAAGCCACAGACGGCAAAGGACAGCTATTTGGATTCTTAAATTACTTCTCAAAGTCAGTAAGATTTTCATGGATCAAGGGAGCACAACTCAAAGGCACATGTCCGGGGTCATCCCAAAGGGAATAGAGCACAGCCTGGGTCAGGGTCAGTGGTTTGCAAGCTTGGAGCCTTTCCTGTTGCTGAGGACAATTTTCAAAGCAGAGCCTTCATTTGCTCAGTTCCCCAGGTGGACAATCTTTAAAGAGAGCCTGCAGGGGCTGGGACTGTAGCTAAATGGTAGAGTGCTTGCCTAGCATGTGTGAGGCACTGGGTTTGATCCTCAGCACCACATAAAAATAAAGATTAAAAAAAAAGGGTCTTAAAAGAGACAGAGAGACAGCCTTCAGGCTGTCACCACAGACTTGTGCACTCAGACTCAGCAGGGGCCCAGGGCAGTGCTCAGTGTCCAGAGACATGCCAGAGACAGCAACACTATTTCCCTGTGGGTACCTGCTGTGGTAGAGAACTCACACACCAAGCCATGGGCTTATGTAAAAGCATGGCAGAGTTTTAGAAGACTGCACTTCTGTTTCACTGATCCAGATTTAATTACAGAGTCCATGTTTTCTTATTTTCCCACATTGAAAATCCATGGAAAGCACACTGCTCCATTTGTCTCAAAGGCAGTTTGCCTGACGTGGGTCAGAGTGCACGTGCAGGGCACCTAGATCATCAGCCCATAAACCAGCATTTCCAACCCTCCAACCAATGGGCAGTCTCAACTGTGGTGACAGGTATGGGCAAGAGTTTGGCATCCATCTGATTCTTCATAATGTGAAGCTGTTTAAAAAGTTTTTTTGAGGGAAGGATCTCACTGAGTTTCCCAGGCTGACCTCAAACTTGCAATCTCCTGCCTCAGCCTCTCGAGTAGTTTGGGTTACAGGTGTGCACCATTGTCTTGGACTAAAAAATTCTGTTTAAAATAAGGGTATCATAGTCAGGATGTTCTAGAACTGCAAGATCTAGAAACAGTTTATTCATTCCCAGATCACTATGGGTTTAGAGGTAGCAAATCATGCACATTCACATATTTCATATCTTTTAAGTTATTTATACAATTTTACATTTACACGTTAAAGGTAAAAATATGTATATTGTAAATTTATACTTTTACTTTTTTCAATATTTTTTATTATTATTAAATTTATACTTGCAAAGGGCTGAGCTGGTACTAAAAACTACAGTTAGAAAAAGTATGTATACATACATACATATATATCTAAAACAACAATAAAAAAGCATACATGTACATATATGTATATTAAGTAGCAGATTACTATAATTGAATAAACATCAGAAGAACCACTTAAATTTTACCACATTATAAAGACACAATGGTTAACCATCATATAAAGTTATAAACCAACCAACCTATCCTATGTCACTCCAAAGTAGGCAGTTTAGTTTCTGCTTTCCTTACTGCTGTATTCAGAGGTAGGACTGTGGAAAGAATTGTTAAACATCAGTGCTGTAGTGGCAAACTACACCGGAAGCAGAAAGTTGAGGAGCCCACCACCCATCTTTGGGTGGGCCTCCACACAGGGCTGCAAATCGACTCCTGCAGCAAGGGCAGAGCTCACCACCAAAGGGACTGGAGCCAGGGTCAGTCAGGGAGGGCCAGGGCCTCCATGCTCTCCCATTGCTAAGACCAAAAGCTCATGTGTGCATGCAGTGGCAGGGTTACAGCAGTCAGTCAGGGGCTAGCGCCAAACTGGCAGTACCTGTAGCTTCTGATTATTAGTGACATCAACAAATCAACTGTGCCCATAAGATTGCCTTTGTGTAGAACATCCTACCCCTAGCTTTGTATGGTTTTTATTAGACTTACTTTAAAACTTTCCCCAGAGAAAGGCAAGGACTTTTCATCTCCCAAACCCTGGGTGTGGTACTTTGGTGCCCGTAGGAATTCAGTCCTGCTGACTGGTCACTGAGTCTCAGATAACCCACTTAAAACACACTGCTTACATTATATAGCTTATGGCAACCTTGGAAACAAAGTTATCTCTTAAATCAACTCACTGTTATGCAAAACTAAATGTCCCCTCAAACTAGATTAAAAATCACACAATTGATACTCTGCAGAAAACACTGGCCCAGGCTGCTGTAGGCCTTGCCACATACTATCCTGGGCACAGCAGAACCACAGCCTCTTATAACCTGCTAAAGGCTCTTTTCTGGAGCCCAAACTAGTTGGCAGTTTGGTTTCACTGTCATCATTAGGTATAACCAAATTTTTCTTATATTTTGGCAATCTTAAAACTCTGTGGTCAGAAATGAAAAACAAAAACAAAACAAAACAAACCCCACAATACTTAAAAAATCTGAACATCTATACAAGCAACACTAAGTGTTGGCAAGGATGTGGGGAGAAAGGCACACTCTTACATTGTTGGTGGGACTGCAAATTGGTGCAATCTCCAAGTATGGAGATTCCTTATAAAATTTGGATTGGAACACCACTTGACCCAGCTATCTCACTCCTTGGTTTACATCCAAAGATTTAAAAACAGCATACTACAGTGGTGCACCCACATCAATGTTTATAGCAGCACAATTCACTATATCTAAATTGTGGAACCAACCTAGATGCCCTTCAATAGATGAATAGATAAAGAAACTGGTATGTATGCACAATGGAATATTAGCATTCAAAGAGAATAAAGTCATGGCATTTGCAGGTAAATTTGATGGATTTGGAGAATATCATGCTAAGTGAAGTAAGTCAATCCCAAAAAACCAAAGGCCGAACCTTTTCTCTGATAAGTGGATGCTGATCCGGAATTGGGGGAGGGGAGCATGAGAGGAATGGAGGAACTATGGATAGGGCAAAGGGGAGGAAGGGGAAGGGAGGGGGTCTGCGGGTAGGAAAAATGGTGGAATAAAATGGACATCATTATCCCTAGGTACATGTAAGAAGAAACGAATGGTGTGACTCTTCTTTGTGTACAACCGGAGACATGAAAAATTGTGTTCCATTTGTGCACTATAAATCAAAATGTATTCTGCTGTCATCTATAGCAAATTAGAACAAATAAATAATTTAAAAAAAAACTGAACTACTGCCCAAGGGCCAGTTCAAGAGTGGGGAGACTGCCTTCTAGCTTGTCACTGGGGCTTCTGAGAACCATAGTCCTCATTCTGCTGCTTCCTAGGTTTAAGATCCTAGGCAAGTTATGTGAACTTGCTAGAAGTCAGTTTCTTCATTCAAAACATAGGGATAACAGTAGCCACTTTGTGAGGTTGTTACAACAATTTGATAACTGATAACATGCCTGGGACATGCTCCACACCTTCTATTTATCTATTTTTTATTTACTTTTTACTTACTTATTTAGTGGCACTGGGGACTGAACCTGAGTGTTCTACCACTGACCTATACCCCTAGTCCTTTTTTAAAAATTTTGAGATGGGCTCTAGTTAAAATTGACAAGGTTGGCTTTGAACTTGTGATTCCCCTGCCTCTGCTTCCCAAGCAGTTAGGTTTACAGGTATGAGCTACCATGCCTGGTTTGACACATTTTAATTTAAACAGAACTAAGGTGAATGTAAACAGATACAATCCTCAATTAAAAAAAAATCATACTCTAATCACTCCTGCCAAGCTTCAGCTCAAGTCTCCTGGAGCATTCAGGAATAGTTTTTGTTTTTTCCCTGTCTCATTTGACAAACACCACTATAAAACCAACAACCACTATCATACTGAGATTACTGCCAGCCCTGACTAACTCATTTACCAGGTCACTCAATCCTCACACCAACCTTCCACGTAAGCACTGCTCCCCTTTCCCAGGTAAGGACACCAAGGCCACATGGCTACTGTGTGGCTGTCCTGGGGCTGTAGCAAAAGCCTTCTCTGGAGCAGATGCTCCTGGACCACGGCAATGTGAGCTTCTGCTCCTTGCCTGGGAACCAGATCCACTTTTAGCCACTGTTTCTACAGAACAGTGGGACCCAAATTCTACACAGATTTTATAACTTCTTTTCTGGAACATAGCCCTTTCATAAATTGGAGTCTTCTATTAACCTCAACTGCATCCTGCCTGTTTTCCTTTTCTCCCTTTTAAAGTTTGGTGCTGATTCATCTACAACCCTATCTCAGTCCTTCCAGAAAACCAGTTTCATACAGAAGACAAGGTTAGTATATGATCTGTTTGGACTGCTAAGTACTTAAAAAACAGTGATGACCATACTAAGAGTTGAATGGTGACATCAACCATTTATTTTGATTTAACCTGTCTGGCGCTTAAATTAAAGATGAATACAAGGCATCTCACCTTTATGCTGAGTTCACAGGAAGTACAACCCAGAGTTAGATCCCAAGAGAGCAAAGTTCACAGGAAGTACAACCTAGAGTTAGATCCCAAGAGAGCAAGGACCGTTGTAAGACTATCCCAAGAAGCACTTACTGAGCCTGCAAGCCCTCCACAGTAGAATGTACAGTAAGTCAAATTCTCCTGACCACTGAAGGGCTCATGGTGATTCCCACAAAGCAGCAGGGCAAGAGGCACCAAGATTGGGTGATACTGCCAGTTTGTCAGTGGAGCCTTGGGGGAGTGTGTGTCACAGACTGCTTTAAGAATCTAATGACAGGTAGGGGCCCTCACCCTAGGCATGTAAAATTTTCCTCTTACTTCAGGGAATTCCAAATACCAGATTAAGAATTCTTGCCTCTGTATAGTGTCCTTCATTCCATTACAGGTCGTATTGCAATGGTTTATACCCCCCACCACCACCTACTGCTATAGTTTGGACCCTAAATGCCCCCCCCCCCAGCTCAAAGCCTATGTGTTAAAGCCTGGTCCCAAGAGGGATGCTACTGAGAGGTGCTAAAACTTCTAAGAAGTGGGGCCTAATAGGAAGTCTTTGAGTTGCTGGGGTGTGTCCCCAAGTGGACTGTGAGACTCTGGTCTCTTTCTCTGTTCCCTGGTTCACGATGAGGCGGGTGCTCTTGTCCTACCACATACTGTGGCTGTAATTTGCTGCCTTCCAATCATGGATGGGAAACTCCAAAACTGTGAGCCAAAAGAAACCTTTTCTCTTTGTGAGTTGATTATCTGGGAGATTTGTTTTAGTGATGGAAAGTTAACATACCCCCTACACAGTGTGGGGGTTCAGATTCATTTCCTGTTCCTTGAACTCAGCAAAGAGCTGGTAATCAATAGCCCAGCTACCAAATAACATACTATCTAAACTAGAACACACTTCTGAGACTGATGGGGAAACCATTAACAAACTTAGCAGGCATGCGCAGGACTGCCCTAGTACCCGGGACACAGTCACCTCTAGGAGGCCCTGACAGGCTTCTTGAGGGAAGGAAGGAATCATATCACCTTCTTTCCCAGAGGACCTCCTGGAGTTTTACTGCTGTAGTTCACTCAGTCCATCGACCTTTCAGAGAAAAACATGCCAATGAATCTATCTGTTTATTAGAAGCAGAGTCATATCTTGTGCACGGAAGAGAAGGAACCTCAGTAGGAATCAGGAGATGGCTTGAGCTCTAGGCCCTGCTCCTGGCAGGTTAACTGTCTCTCTGAGTACCAGTGTCCTGTTTTGAGGTTAATTAAAGGTGCAGATATCTGAGTGGTACTCTATGCCAGGTGCAAGGGAAGGAAACATGCAGCCTATTAAGTGCAAAGCGAAACAGGGCTCCTCTGGTCAAGCTCACCCACTCCCAGATTTACAATTTTCTTTCTTTCTTTTTTTTTTTTTTTTAACTGGGTATTGGACTCGGGGGCACTCAACCACTGAGCCACATCCCTGCCCTGTTTTGTATTTTATTTAGAGACAGGGTCTCACTGAGTTGCTTAGCACCTCACTGTTGCTGAGGCTGGCTTTGAACTCGCCATCCTCCTGTCTCAGCCTCACTAGCTGCTGGGATTACAGGCGTGCGCCACCACACCCGATTGCAGGTTTACAATTTTTGCTCAGTTTGGTCTTCTTACATAACCATCGCCCCCTAATCCAGAAATCTTGGCAAGGCTGAGAGCTAAATCTTTAGTCCTCTAATCCACAATGTTGAACCTGTCCAGGGAAGAGAATGGCAAGTATCCATTATCCTGTCTCTGTGCCAACTGCACCTGGCAGATGATACTTGATACGTGCTCGGTGAATAAATGACAAAATCTCAATACTTAAGTAACTGTCCCATACGACCAATGTAGAACTTAGACACAAAGTGGGTGCCATCTCTCCTTGGAAAAGACACTCTGGAGGCATACTGATTCCAATGGCACTGCTGACCTGCAGGACATTTTTTGGAACTTCCCCTTTTGAATGAGCTCTGCAGTCTGTAGAACACTCTCTGGGTGTGCTCAGTAGTGGCCAATCCTCCTCTTTGCTGGTGGGTCACTTTGAGAAACTATTGTAAAACACTCAGAGACTAGTCTAGTATCAAGCCAGATAACTCTTGGTCAAACATGGGGTGTGACTATTGAATGAGACCAAATTTCTCATAAGTAAGAAGTTATGAAGTGGTTTTAGCAAAGGATCATCAATGCAATAAAAGTATAATCTTTTGGGACAATTACTCTTAACAGCGCGTCCCCCTTTGAATGCCTAAGTTCTGATACATCTGGTCAAAATTCTGATGCCTAATTTAACAGACTTAGCAATATCTAAAAGAAAGCTGTCAAGATTAGTGGCAGATACCATTCCCAAACTGACTAAGCTCAACCACCAAAACTCCCTGGTAAGAAAGTACTCACCTTGAGACGATCTGGAGTTGTGATAAGGTGAAAAATATCTTTAAACATGAGCAAGGCCACAGTTTACCTGTCTTTCTGGAGTGATTCCACAAAGCTCTCTCACAATGTTTGAGCATTTCCCATCTACAACAGAAGAGTTCCAGGCTTTGGGACACATTTGACTGGTTCCAGAGCTGGCTGGGCTCCACATGTGTGCTCAGATTTTAAAATTATCAGGCAAAGGTTCTCCTCCCATGGCTGGAAAGTGGGATACAGCCTAAGTCCAGGCCCACCCTGAGAATCCCAATCACTGAACTGAGATGGGCAATGCCATACTGGTGAGGCTCATAGAAGAAACGATGAGAGCCTTGTGACACCCCAACAGTACTTCAGGTGCCAAATGCCCTCTTCCATTTCCCCCAAATGGGTCTGAAGAATGACCTACTCTTGGAAGCTCATTTAAAACGATCAACCACTGGGCCCAGTAAACTCAACTGTGAAAGGATTCGGGAAAACTCAAGTTCCAGCAGGAGCAAGACTGTAAGTCTTGAAGTCTTATTTGCTTCCAGCATCATAACTGCAGTTACTTTATGTCAAGGACCCGGCATCTCTGAGCTCCCGATCAAAGGGGCAAGAAGTTACACATTCCTAGGAGCCCAGCGCGCGTCTTGGGGCGCAGTCGGTACGTCCGAGCCGTGCTGCGGGAGCTGCGGGAGCAAGTTCCGGCAGGCTCCAAAGAGCTCAAAGTTCCCCGAAGAGCCCATCGACAGTCCGGGCGGGCCTTCTCCCGGGCGAACCAGCGTGCTCTCTCCCCGCTTTGTGGGCGGCAAACATGTGCCACGCGAGTGGCCCGGAAGAGAAATGACAGCTTCAGGAAAATCCACTCCGCCGCGGGCGGG